CCAGTCAGGCCATGCACATAAACATACACAAACAAAATAGAATACAACTGATAAAATTAACAGATAACATCCAGAGCAATAAACAAACAAATGGCTAAAAGAAAATGTTATTTCTGCAAACGTTAGCTATCTTAGCACAGTTAAGCAGATTTACATATCTGTGGTGGTGAAAAGACTTTGTACATGCATGTATGCGAGAGAGCAAAGAGAAAAAGAAATCAGCTGTTTTAAAAGCACTTTTCGTCTTCAGTGACACATGCACCTTCATAGACAGTACAGAGTTGAGGAACCTTTCCCATATTGGTGTATCTGGCCTTTAAGAAGAAAGTGTGTGACTAGCATCCATTCACTGTGATCCAGGCTGGCTGATTTCCTTGCTTAACAACACTTCTGTCTTGAACTTAATTCTTTAGATTTCTGGGGTGGGGTGGTGGAATACTATGAACTGCAGATAACCCTAGAGCTGTCCATTTTGAGAACATGGCCCTCCTTTTATTTGGCAGGCTAATGAGGGGTTTCTACCTTCTTTAGGAACTATGATGACAGGATGATCATTGAGAACAACAGGTAGCTTCTGGGCGAGACTGAACCACTGAGATGAGTCACTCTTTTCTCCCCCCCCCCTTTAGCATCTATTTAGATACTGTAGAGACAAAGTGCTAGTGTAATGGTTCTGATTGCTTAACCGGAGATAAACAATCAGAAATGGGAAGGATTTATAAACTCTCCCTTCTGGACTTAGCAATGATTAACCATTATGGTTAGAGCAGCTAAAGGAACCATGGTTAGGGCTAACCTGGTTCAGCCCAGCAGCTAAGACCATGGATCAGAATCATTACATTTTTGGCCCATAGTTCCCAAAATCCCACAACTGGCAGAGCAAAAAAGGATAGTAAAGTTTCTAAATTCTGGCCGAAACAAACGGGATTAGGCTGGATGATTTCAAACTGGTGATTTAGGCGGAGAACGCGGAGGGAAGCAAGCAAGTGATATCTGGGCCTGATCCCATGATTAAAATGTCCTAAGGATCATCAAGCGTAAGGGTGTGTCACTGGGAACCAAGAGCAAGATCATCTGCACTGTTATATTTCCAGTCACCATGTATGGGTGTGAAAGATGGACAGTAAAGACAGCTGACGGAAAAAACTGGAATCATTTGAAATGTGGTGCTGGAGGAGAGTTTTGCAAATACCTTGGACTGCCAGAAAGACAAACAAGTGGGTCCTAAAGCAAATCAAGTCTGAACTTTCTCTGGAGGCAAAAATGATGAAACTGAGACTGCCCTACTTCGGGCATATCATGAGAAGGCTGGATTCTCTGGAAAAGACTATAAGGGGGGAAAGGTGGAAGGCAGCAGGAAAAGAATAAGGCCAAACATAAGATGGAGTGATTCCCTAAAAGAAACCACAGGCTAGAGTTTAGAAGAGCTGAGCTGGGCAGTTGAGTACAGTACATTTTGGAGATCAGTCATTCATAGAGTCACCTTGAGTTGCGGGGTAACTTGACAACGAAGTTTTATGTCTGCAGGATCACTTACCATTGTTTTGGCCTTGTCTCTTAACAGCCAAACACCATCTGACATAACACACACCCAATGAAAGGCAACCATGCCTATCCTAATGTGAAGACTTGACTTTTCCGTATTTTCAAAGATTTGACACATACGAGGGGTATTTCCTGGTTCATTTTCAGTACTATTATTCTTGCTTGACAGTTGCTGCTCCTTTGCTGTAATGCAGTGGTCCCCAACCTTGGGCCTCCAGATGTTCTTGGACTACAACTCCCAGAAGCCTTCACCACCACCTCTGCTGGCCAGGATTTCTGGGAGTTGAAGTCCAAAGACATCTGGAGGTGCAAGGCTGGGGACCACTGCTGTAATGGATCAACTTTCCTGAGTATTTCTTCTGAAAGCCTTTGAGAATACATATTTCTTCTGAGTTTGCACAGCTTCTTGGCAAGCTGTTGTGCCCTGATTCTGGTACGCAAATATCATGATGGGAACAAAGCTTAGTAGGCACTAGTTTAAGAATTAAGATAAATGTTTGATTAGATAAACAGAGAGCTGACACTAAAGGGTGGTTTGAGTAAACATTCCTGTAGAATTCAAAGAAATGCCAAGTGCTAAAGGGACGTGGTGGCACTGTGGGCTAAACAGCAGAAGCCTCTGTGCTGCAGGGTCAGAAGGCCAGCAGCCGTAAGATCGGATCAATGCGATGGAGTGAGCTCCCGTTGCTTTGTCCCAGCTCCTGCCAAACTAGCGGTTCGAAAGCATGCAAATGCAAGTAGATAAATAGGGACCACCTCGGTGGGAAGGTAAGGGCGTTCCGTGTCTAAGTCGCACTGGCCATGTGACCACGGAAGATTGTCTTCGGACAAACGCTGGCTCTATGGCTTGGAAACGGGGATGAGCACCACCCCCCACAGTCGAACACGACTGGACAAAAATTATCAAGGGGAATCTTTACCTTTACCTTTACCTAAAGCACATAGTGGTACGACCGTAGCCCATGGCTGCTGAAAGGGAAAGACTCCTGTAGACTTCTTTGGCAGTTATAACTGAACACGACTGCCGAGATAGTAGCACCATGTGACAGATCAGATGTTTGCAGTAAGCATATTGCTTCTGCTCTGTTTCATTGTATCGTAAACAACAAATCTAACTGCCCAGAAGCCAAGACCATTTTCCCCGTCACGGCTCAGTTATTTGGCTACTGTACCCTGGTTTGCAAAATCCAACATCTAAAATTAGGAGATAAACACAAGGTTTGAAGGAAGTCATGTTTTGGACTGCTCTCTGATTTGAACAGAGTAAAACTGTTTAAAAGAATAAGATGTTTCCATGAAGTTTGATATCCTGCCATTTGGTGCATGGGGGTTGAGGGGAGGGGCAGAATCATGATTGTTTCCTGTCCTGGAAATAATTCCCAAGCTGTCAAGGAACAATGTAGATTTGCATCTGTGCCAGGCGGACATGATTAGCAGATGAAAATGGCTGATTATAGAAACAATTCAAATGGGTCAACAGGGAGAGAGCAAGGAGAAGGATTGTTGTTGTTTAGTCGTTAAGTCGTGTCCAACTCTTCATGACCCCATGGACCAGAGCACGCCAGGCCCTCCTGTCTTCCACTGCCTCCCGGAGTTGGGTTAAATTCATGTTGGTCGCTTCGATGACCCTGTCCAACCATCTCGTCCTCTGTCGTCCCCTTCTCCTCTTGCCCTCACACTTTCCCAACATCAGGGTCTTTTCCAGGGAGTCTTCTTTTCTCATGAGATGGCCAAAGTATTGGAGCCTTAGCTTCAGGATTTGTCCTTCCAGTGAGCACTCAGGCCTGATTTCCTTTAGAATTGATAGGTTTATTCCCCTTGCAGTCCAGGGGACTCTCAAGAGCCTCCTCCAGCACCACAATTCAAAAGCATCAGTTCTTCGGTGGTCAGCCTTCTTTATGGTCCAGCTCTCACTTCCATACATCACGACAGGAAAAACCATAGCTTTGACTATGTGGACCTTTGTCAGCAAGGTGATGTCCCTGCTTTTTAAGATGCTGTCTAGGTTTGTCATCGCTTTCCTCCCAAGAAGCAGGCGTCTTTTAATTTTGTAGCTGCTGTCACCGTCTGCAGTGATCATGGAGCCCAAGAAAGTAAAATCTGTCACTGCCTCCATATCTTCCCCTTCTATTTCCCAGGAGGTGACGGGACCAGTGGCCATGATATTAGTATTTTTTTATGTTGGGCTTCAGACCAATTTTGCACTCTCTTCTTTCACCCTCATTAAGAGGTTCTAGGAGAAGGATAGGCGGAACCAAACGAGCACAATAAGCTAGGAGCATGTGACCATGGCCACATGGTCCATAGGCAAATTAAAAGTAGGGAGAGTGGTTGCAGAACCCTTGAGGATGGGGGGAACGAGGTAAAATAAGTTCTACGAACAAGAGAATGTTTAATGTAAGATCTAAAGAAAGAGAAAACCTGTGGAAAAATAAACAAGTGTTTACTCTGTGTATAATAAAATGTTTTAATTTTATTTATGTACAGTATTTGAAATATTTTTACCCCACCTTTCTTTTTAGAAGGACCCAAGTGGAAGTTTAACTGTCCTAAAAGTATGTAATGCAAGCACATGGGAGTGGAGTGGAATGACACCTGCTTACCTTCTCCATTCATATATTGTTTGACTCTGTATGCACAGAGCCAACCTACAAGATCATACCTGGTACACACATAGACCCTTCAGCATGACTGGGAACCCTGTGTTTTTTTTGGGGGGGGAGTCCTCCCAAACACATGTCTAACTGGACATAGAACATAGCAGGAGCAGACAACATGTGGCCCATAGGTCACATGCAGATGGAGTCCCTTTTCAGGAGTTCTGGGCCCCTCTAGGCTGCCTCCACTAAAACAAATCACCCCCGGAAGTAGCAGTTTCCCTTTAAAACACCATATGCCCACGGTGACTCCCTTTTCTTTGGTTCCAAAAGGGGAGGAGATTTCCAAAATCAAAAATGGATGTCTGACCACTTCTGACTTGGGTGAAGGGAATGAATGGCTTGAGAGTTGTAAAATTATTCGAGCTTTGATATCAAAGAGGAAAAAAAAACAACCCTAACAGATGCTGCCACACACAGTTCCTCTTTTAGTGATTCCTAATTTTGCACACTCTGTTGCACCTTCATGTTCTAATGCACAGGCTGGACAAATATGTAGGTCCCATTCGCTCTAAATGAATCAGATTATTATATTTTTGAAAGCTCAGAGAATAGGCAGTATGAGAACAAGAAAGATCACAGGAAAACCATGTGCTCCAGCATTCAATAACAGAGAGAACACGTTAGAACTGGAATATGCATGTGTGTTTGTGACTGGAATTTTTTCTCTCTGTGAAAATGTCTTTATCGACTGATCAGCAGCTCTCGAGATCACTTACCTCCAGCACTATGTAATTAATGTAGGGAAAAGTATTGTATTTAGAAAATTATACCATGTTCCTGTTGTTGTTGTTTTAGATGACTCCACTAATCAACCAGGCATGTGACATCCTGCTGAGCAACTTAAAGGTCTACGCAGATTCTGGCACAGCTTTTGACATCCAAAGGTACTTTAATAAATTAGAAATGAGAGACATTTTTGTAGGCACTTCATTTGCCAAGCTATCTTAAATATGCAATTATTTTACAAATGGAGTTTTTAATCCACCCCCTGTCTCCTGATGTAGACTCTTGATGCTCTGACAAGTGTGCGCGTGTGTGTCTACGTGTGTACGTGTGTGTGTGTGTGTGTGTGTGTGTGTGTGTGTGTTTCTATTTGTTTTATTGTAGTTCCTTATTTAACAGGTGAAACTACTAACAAAATACTGACATTTCAGTATATAGTCTGTACTTGTCTGGTAATAACAGCTGATTTGGATGGAATAAATAATATTCAAGTGGCTGTATTTGCATGTCACAACAAGACATAATGTATTTTGAGTCCAGGTGAGTTGCAGGCTTGCAGGCTTCCTCTTCTATAGGGAGACTGCTTTTACTTCTATACTTGCTTAAATGCAGTTGGTGGAGGTGGAGCAGGGAAGTCCGGCTACTTGCTCAGCCCAGTTTGAGAATATAAATCTGCAGGTAGCAATCTTTAGGTGCCTTACGTGTGTATTGATTTCTTTCCCAACATTTACTGTCAGACGTAATAAAAATCAACAAACAGGATAATAACATATGCATGTGGGGGAATGATGTGTCTTTTCTGAGTTTTTCAACATTCCAGGGAAAAACAAATAAATTATTGTGAGTATGCATAGATTGAAAGAAAAACAACCACCGGTATAATCTGTTATAATCAACATAGTAAAGGATTAGTGGACACAATCAAAGATCAAAGAAGCAGCCAATTAGTAGTTTATGGATCTTCACTGGTCCTCGTAGTAATTGGGCAGATGGCTTGCATGCATTTGCCTTGGGTGTGCTTGCATACTTCTTTTCAGTTACTAAACTAAATGGAAAAAAATTAACCGTCAATATCTCATATTATGACCTAGCATGAATTTTTGATATGATGATGCTTTATTCCATCCATAGAAGGATGAGAGAGCTTACGTTTTGATGGTGGTGATTTTGATTTGGGAACCAAACTTTTAACTGAACCACTTGGGCTCTTAAATAGTTAATCATCATTTGTATTCCTCTATTAAAATATTTACATCCTGATATGTGAGAACAAAAAAGTTTTCCAAGAGACTTAAGGAAGAGGAGGAAAAAGGCTTAACAAATAAAGTGCTTTGTCTATTTGATGTTTTTTGCCCCACTTAGAAGTTATTTTTAGTGCTGTGATTCCCCTCCACAGCTCACTTAATTTGGGACACATAGTTGTGAAAGTGGAATTAAAACAAGTTAGTTCGACATAGCACTATGGTGCCAAAAATGTCATTTTCCATGACCAGGATACTTTTATGTTTCCTCATTAAAAAGTCCAGTCCAACAGAAGTCCTTTCCAGTGCTAATTAAAATTTTCTTGTTTATAGCTCCCACCTCTTTTACTGCTTCCTGTTGATCAGAGCTGGGGAAATTTCTGATGAATAGACACTTAACCGCTTCTTGAATATCTCCTTAATTTGCCCCAGAGTCAGTTTCTAAATCCTGCAGAGAAGAGGGTTTAATTGCTAGATAGCTTGCAATATTATCATTATTTATATTTTAGACAGTAATTTAGAATCATTTCACTATTTAAACAGATGAAACTTTTAAATATTTGCTTCAGTTTCTAGCTGCTTTGAGATTCTAAGGGCTAACTAAGCTAGGGATGGGGAATATGTGGCCCTTTAAATGTTACAGGATGACACCTCTCTTCAGTTCTAGCCGCCATTTAGTTTTGATGGGAGTTGGAAGCCAACAACCCCATTGCTTTCCCCATCCCAGTTAGAAGCAGAAGCAAATACTGTACAGTGGAACCTCAACTTACAAATGTTCCTACTTACGAACATTTCGACTTACGAACAGCTCTGTTCACAAAATTCTGCTTCGACTTGTGAACGGAGCTTTGACTTATGAACACAGAAAGGCAAGGGGAAAGGGCGGGAACTTTGAATTTACTGTACTAACTGTTGGTGGCGAAGAGGCTGCTTCTTTGTAGCTCTTTTGCCTCAACAGTTAGGGAAAGCGATGCGGTGGGGGTAGCCCAGAGCCAGGAGGCTTTAGCCTCCTGGGTGCTCTGCCGGGGACAGCAGCGCGCCGGGATGCTTGAGCTGGCTGGGCTCTTGGCCGCTTGCCCCCAGCCACGGTGGAGGCAGCGGAGCGCCGGGAGGCTTGAGCTGGCCAGGTTTCTTCAGCTGCTTGCCTCCCAGCTCACCTCCTGCTTGATCCTCGCCGCCCTCCACCATATGAATTTCCCGCCATCAGCCCACAAAGGGTGGCGCGGAGCAAGTGGAAGGTAAGATGGGAGGCGAGCGGCCAAAGCGCCCTTGCCAGGCTCAAGCCTCCCACCGGCAGCGGTCACAGCAGCAGCGGAAGCCCGGGAGGCTGAGGAGGCTTCGGACTGGTAAGGTGCTGCTTTTTCCTTTTAAAAAAACTGTTCTGGGCGGGTTTTAGAGGGTGGGTTTGGACTGGGGGGTTTATGTTTCTGTGCTGTGTTGTCTTGCTTTTTGGATTTGTGGTTTTTGTTTGTTTGTTTGTTTGTTTTTGCAGTCCCAGTGTGGGACTTGCTCTGTTTATTTTTATTTTTGATATTTTTTTGAAATGCTGGAATGGATTAAACCTGTTCCCGGGCATTTCAATGGGAAATGATGCTTCGACTTACGAACATTTCGACTTACGAACGCTGTTCCAATATGGAATAAGTTCGTAAGTCGAAGTACCATTGTAATACTTATCAACCACCCCTAATAACCTAGCATTTCCATCAGCATAAATCTAAATGCCTTCTTCTGCATCATCACTGACATAGTACTGCATGGTGGGAGCAAGCACTGTGGAAGGGCAAACAAGTACAGTGGTGCCTCGCATAACGGGTGCCCCGTTTAATGACGAATCTGCATAGCGACGATGTTTTTGGGATCGCTTTTGCGATCACATAATGTTTTCTATGGTGGAAAATCACTTTGCAATGATCGCTTACCGATTATCGCATAACGATGGTTTTTCCCCAGCTGATCGGTGGTTCCAAAATGGCCGCCGGGTAAAAGAGGGACGGATTCCTCGCTTACCGGGCACTCAAAATGGCAGCCGTATGGAAGATTTTCGCTTAAAAGGTAAGTTTTAAGCCCATAGGAACGCATTGAAGGGTTTTCAATGCATTCCTATAGGCTTTTTAAATCCGCATAGCGACGATTTTGGCTGCACGGATTATCATCACTATGCAGGGCACCACTGTATGTTCTTTAATTAGGCACTGTTTTACGTGAGCATATAATCTGTTTTCTATGTACTAAGTTCTGTCTTCCTGCTTACCAGCAGCTGAAAATTGATTTTGATTCTACTATAAAGCATGCTGTTTGAGGTATTATGTAAGTTTTGGCTCTGGTATTTTATCTACGATGGCTCATCCACAAGCACATTTCTTTGATGCCTGATGGAGAAGGCATTAGGTGATGAATGGCTTTAGATGATGTGAAACAGCCCTACAACTATTTGGAAAGTGGAATTCAAGTGCAGGAGAGTGTATTGAGTTTAGAACCACTGGCAAAAACGCATTGCTTCCAATGTATGCTTCAGCAGTGCAGCTTTTTTATCAGAAGACTGCAAGTATAAATATTGTTCAGAAGCAATTAGAACCTTTAGAAGCAAATGTGCATAGTTTTGCATGTTGAACTCAAGACTTCTCCAGAAAAGAAATGGTAAGGTTAGTAAATGCCGAAATGAGCCATCTACGGACAGAAAGTCCCAGTGTAACAGCAACTTTCATTTATTTCATGCAGGAATTATGGCTGTTTTACTTTGGATGTTGTCGCTAGTGTTGCTTTTGGTACCTGTGTGGACTCCTGGACAAATCCCAGTCACATTTTTGTTAAGAACACCAGAACATTCCTTGAACCCGCAATTTCTAAACCACTCTTATTCCTGACCAGTAAGTATATTGTCATGTTGACTATACACAGGAATCTATTTCTGAATCTTTTGTGTCTTGTTTATTTTTCGCATTAAATGTTCATAACAGTAGTTTTTGGAATACACTCTGTGGACCAAATCTGCTTTCATGTGCTTTCTTGAAAGCAACGTCCTATCTCAGTTGTTCTTCATGACGATATACTGTACATCCTGTAGAGATGTCTGGTTCCTTAATTTTTTTAAGGTAGAAGTCTTATTCCATATTTCTTACCTAGTTCTCCTCAGCATGTCAGCTAGGAACCACCTAGCCCCTTATCTCTTTGTCACTGCTTTCTCTATTTCGTGCATAATATGTCTGCAGAGATGTGTCCACATTTAAGTAAGAACCACCATTTCCTAGGTTTCTTGCTCTCATGGAGAGACTACGCACAAGCAAAAACCTCTCCTTTGCAGTCACAGTATTCTGACTTTGAAGAAAATGACAACACAGAAGGGAGAGTGTCTCAGCACTTTAAAAGATGCTGCAAAGTCATTTTTAATATTATTATTATCAGTTCCTGTGTGAGAGTGAAAAGACCAAGTCTTTTTTTGACAGCATTATCGAATAATCATGATCATCTAAAATAAATTGAGTTTTTGAAAGTATTTTGTTCAGAAAATTTGTATTTCCTACAACTCTACAGTAATTTTCTTCTCTGATGTATCTAGATTAGTGTCACTGACAAAATATTTTGCACACTTATTTGGAGATACGCCCCACATAACATAGTGAGAATTATTTCCAAACAGACATGTATGACATTGCCACTTCTTTGTGTATATAGGAACAAAGAGATTTTTTTTGAAGTGGTGCCGATATTTAACATCCATTTAATTGTGTAGTAATAATTGGCAAGCACTGTATGTGGAACTAAAGCTTTATGAATACTATGCAGCAGGGTAGTTACTACAAAGGAAAAGTACTTCAGGGCAAATTCCTTGAATGAAATAAGACTTCAGTGACCTTCTGCTTCTTGGTTCCCTTAGCTAAAGGGTACATTTACACAAAACTTTCCTCAGCCTTGATATTGCGTTAGGGGGTCTGTAAATAATGTTTTCTGTAGTTAGTCTCTTTCAGGAAGGATATACAGACATAAATTAAGTACTTAATGAAGTAACTGCTTTCCAAAGCACAACAAGGAAATTAATGTAACCGTCCAGCCACATTTTGAGAGATGTTGTATCTCTCTGGTTCACTTGTAACTGTGCTGTAATTTTTTTTTTAAAAAAGTAAGCCTCATCATGATTGAAATATGTTTCAGCCTGTGCTGAGGTATTACATAATCCTGAAATCATTTTGAATTCTTTTTTTGCCCCACTAGACAAATGCTGTAAATTAGAATAGCCTTTGAGAGGGTGTTTCACAATGAAGTACCTGCTTCATTTACTTTAATTGAGAAAGACTGCGAGATCCTCTAATCAAAAGTGGCAAAATAGGAGAAAGTAACAGTATAAACAATTCTCCATGAAAGGAAAGGAAAGCCATAAAGTTAGGGATTGGCAACAATTACCTTCATTGCTAATAATGTTGTTTTCTTTTTTTTAAACTCTCTCAAAGTTGCATTTCCATTCATAATGATCCCACTGTGTCGCATTTTGCCGAATAAGAAACGAGCTGAGGTGAATGGATTTTTCATCAATGCAATTAAGAACACAATTGCTTTTAAAGACCAGCAAGACCCAAATGAGGTAAGACATTTTCAGTGTTAGAAAAAAGCCCTTTTGGATCAACCAGAGATCCATTTATTCTAGAAGTCTGGATCCACCAGGGAGCAAATGGATGCCTCCGAGGAGCTCAAAAGCAAGACAAAAATAAAGTGCCCCTCCTTGCTGCCTGCATCTAAGGGTTGCCCTGGTATTTTGATTTCCTTCAACAATCCATCTGAGAGCCGAAAATTCTGTCCACCAGATGGGTTGTTGCACTTTGTTTTAATTGTGGTTGCCAGTCAAAGCTATGCAAATATTTTGAGGTTGTACACTTTTATAAATCAAAAGCTTGTGAGATTATGATAAGGAGAGTGAAGCTGCTGCTGCTGCTTCTCCTTCTCCTTCTCGTTCTCCTTCTTCTTCTAGAGGGGCGGGGTATAAATTTAATAAATAAATAAATAAATAAATAAACTTCTTCTTCTTCTTCTTCTTCTTCTTCTTCTTCTTCTTCTTCTTCTTCTTCTTCTTCTTCTTCTTCTTCTCTCCTCCTCCTCATCCTTCTCTCTCTGTGCATGCACAAACAATATTTTCAGTTTTCCTGAACAGAAGAGCACCCAAAGAAAAAACTTTTTTCAAAACCAAAATTGCTGTTGTAATTGTCAGATTGAATGATTAGTCTCCCAAACAGAAAAACAATGGCAAATGGCTAAAAATGTAATCGGTAGCCCCCCACCCTGCCCCGGTCTGCTATTCAGAGGCACATGTCCACTAATGATATCATAAGTGACACAGGCCTTGATTGTAAGGCTACTCTGCCCACTATGGCATTCCAAACATGAAAAGTGAGTGGTTGGATCTTGATTTCTACATGTTTTTGCACTTGTTCATTGCCTTAGAAACTGTGAAAAGGAACAAGAAACTTTGCTTGCTTGCTGACTCTGTACTCTCATTAAAACTAGTATGGTAGATTGCAGTCCGAGAATCTAATCTTGCCGTTTCTAACCCAGTTATTCTATTAAAAGCTTGACATTTAATGTCCACTAATGATATCATAAGTGACACAGGCCTTGATTGTAAGGCTACTCTGCCCACTATGGCATTCCAAACATGAAAAGTGAGTGGTTGGATCTTGATTTCTACATGTTTTTGCACTTGTTCATTGCCTTAGAAACTGTGAAAAGGAACAAGAAACTTTGCTTGCTTGATGACTCTGTACTCTCATTAAAACTAGTATGGTAGATTGCAGTCCGAGAATCTAATCTTGCAGTTTCTAACCCAGTTATTCTATTAAAATACTTTATTCAAGTATTTGCTTTTTAACCCTGAATAATTGTGCCATGTACTTATGCTTTTAACAGTTACCTTGATATACTCTGTTATGATAAACATTCCTTTCCTTTCATCCTTGATCACATATCTGATACCTGGAAGGGGAACCACTCTCACTGAGCAGGCCAACTTTTCCATCAGGATACAGCTCGAAACAAATTTCTTATTTATCTTAGGGGTGGGGCAGCTTCCTAGAGTTGGAGGTGCTCCCATTTGGAGCCTCCTGTAACCTGCTGGGCCAGTCATTCTCAACCTTTCTTTGCCCACAGCCCTTTTCAGAGCTCAAGTTTTAGGATCCGCTGTCAAGCAAGGAAAGCCTATGCCTTTGTGCAAATTAGGATACAACAGGAACAGATGAATCTGGGGGGCCCCCTTCAAATGTGCCAGCCTTCCCCCTCCCCGTTGAGAATGACTGTCTGGCCTCCATTGTCCCAGTTGCTCCTACAGTTTGATACTCAGTGCTCTATTGTGAACTTGTTTTGACGATGGCAGGGCAGATTGGAGAGAGGCAATAAGAAAAAGAGAGCTATTTCTCCTCGCCATTAGGCAGGCATTTATAATCTGATTCACAACCATCTTGATGATAGTGTCTGAGAAAGAGTTATTGTATAATGTAAAAGGCTTTGGACTATGTTCATATTTGGAGTGGAGTTTTGCAGGATCAGCCCTTCCATTAAGCAGGATGAATGCTTAATGGAAGCACAGCAGCAGCACCTCATATGGGATGTCATGAAAGGGCAGAATATGATACCCTGTTTCCCAGAAAATAAGACCTAATCTGAAAATAAGCCCTAGTATGATTTTTCAGTATGCTTGTAATATAAACCCTACCCCACAAATAACCCCCAGTTAAGTGATACCTCACCCTCTACCATTGTGCAGCAACCAGAAGAAGATGCCCGAATGCGTTTATTGGAGCAAAAATTAATATAAGACCCGGTCTTATTTTCAGGGAAACACGGGTAGGTTACTTAACTTAGAGTCAGTGTGGTGCATTAGATAGAGCGATGGGCAGAGACCCGGTCTTATTTTCAGGGAAACATGGGTGGGTTACTTAACTTAGAGAGTCAGTGTGGTGCATTTGATAGAGCGATGGGCAGGGTCTCGGGAAACCTGGGTTCAAATCTTTGCTCAGCCATGGAAACTCACTGGAGGGTGGCAATACTAAAGCCACTCCTTAAATTTTTCATATATCTTGAAAATCTTATTGGGATCACTTACTGGAGGGTGGCAATACTAAAGCCACTCCTTAAATTTTTCACATACTGTACCTTGAAAATCTTATTGGGATCACTCGTAGAGATGGATACATAACAGACACACAACTTACTACTATTGCAGTTTCACTGCCAGAGATGTGGGATAATTGTGTCATTTGCAAAATGATATGATTTGTGATGTACATCCTCATCCTTTAGTAAGGAAGGAAGAGGCAACGGTCTGCTTTCCAAAGTATAAAAATACTGTATTATTTGGCCAACTGGATTATAGGCTTGGTTTATAAGCCATTGGAACAGTTCTGATGAAAATAACCTTCATATCATATTGCATCGTAACTTTGTTTTCTGCTTTGCACATCAAGCAAAAAAGGAAAGAAAAAGAAGACTTTGCATCTACATATTCAGTTTAGATATAGGTGTTTTGGTAAAAAGCCAAGATTGAATACAAGTCTCAGATACATACAGAATTGATTTACTTCAGTTGCCTTGTTGTGATCTGATGTGAGTTAATTGGTGAGTTACAGAACTGCAAAAATTAAATCTACTAATCAGTAACTATCTTAAAGAGCACACACTTCACTCCTTGGCAATCCTGACTATCAGTTTTGGTAAATATCCTAAAAACCTGGAAGCAACTGAATTGGGACAACAATGGAGTTGTTGTCATAGAGAAAATCTTCATGTCTATTTGAAATAGTTGTTTCTAGACTACAACGTGAAGGTTAAGTCATTGCAGACAATTTTATATCTAATGATACATCTAGGAAATAGGTGGAGTTTTTCTTAAATCTCACACAATGAGTAAATGGCCTGGCCTTCCCCCCATATGAGGTAAATTTATTCTTTGCTGTTCCATATGATGTGTGCATAATATGTGTTAAGTTCACCCTAAACTCATTACAAAAGTACAGCCCCATTTAACAACAAAGATGTCTCCTTTATTGTGTCCAAACTTTGTTGCAGTAAGGGAGACGTCTGTGAAGCCCTTAATGGGACTCAAGTGTATTTTATTTTTCTTTCAAATTATTTCACATGGCTCCAAAAAGTTTACCTTTTTATGGACTTATTAGAAGAATAGGCAGCTGTATACATTTTCCACTGCCTTTGGATTCAGTGGTTAATATTGATTATCAGTAATTTCACATCAGTTGTTTGGCTTCAAAATAGTACTTTATAGTTGCAGTTGATGGAAGCTTATCTCATTGATCTTTTATTTCCTGGGTTATGAAATACAAATGAGGTACAGTGGTGCCCTGCATAGTGAGGTTAATCCGTTCCGGATTAACCTTCGCTATGGGGAAACATCGCTAAACGGAACGGAAAAGTCCATTGGAACGTTCCAAATGGGCCCAAAACTCACCGTTCTGCGATGTTTCCCCAGCCGCGAAAACGCTGCGCGCGGCCATTTTGGGTGTTCCGGTGGCCATTTTGGGTGTTCCGGCGGCCATTTTGGGTGTTCCGGCGGCCATTTTGGAACCGCCGAACAGCTGTTCCCCCATCGCAATGCGATAAAACATCAGTATGCGATCGTTAAACGGTGTGCTCGTTATGCGAGGCACCACTGTACATCCTGGGCATCAGGAATTTCCAGGAAGAATTAGACTTTCAGTCATTTTTTATCATATGTATGATAAATGAGTACATGTGTGCTCAGACTCAAGTTTAAGAAACTTACTGGAAGTTCTTTTCAATGAATGTTTTTTTCACAGCATATTGTACAGTCTGACTAACAACTGTTATTAATTATTGCTAGAAGTAGACTGCTAGCCCCATTCATTCATTCATTCATTCATTCATTCATTCATTCATTCATTCATTCATTCAGCTTGTATCAGAATCTACTGAAAATAGCATACAATAAGAAAACTTCTGCAAACACTAAAAACCATGAGAAGAAACAGAAGTAGACAAATATGGAAGTATGTAACAATGTAAACCTTAAAGATAATACATATATCATTATTCAGATGTCTGTATAAGTATTTTTATACATAATGTAAGAATAATAGGGGAGGTTATTTCATAACTCTGCTAGACTGGCGGCCCATGAGCAAGTAATGCTGAAATATATTAAAGTCTGAAATAGTGTGGCTGAATAATACTACTCAAACTTGGTGCTTTTGGACTCCCATAAAAAAACCCACACAAATATTTGGTTAATCCTCAAGACCGATGAGCAAAGAAATCGTCAGATAATGGTTGTCATAAATTTTTAAATGAGTTTCATGAAAGCTACCGATGAATGTCAACCAGCCTAAACAGGAAATTTCTAAAACACACAATCTTTCCTCAGTTTTCCCACTGCTTCCTATCACAAAAACTGTCATATGCATTAATAATTCATTGTTCTTGAGTCAACCCTGGAGGAACATTGACCGCAATGTCATTTCTGTCTGAGTGAGTTTTTCAAACCAAAAGGAAAAAAAGAGGCATATGTCTACTTGCTGCGCAAAATACCTAAAACACATAGGCCAGACCTTTGGTTAATTGGGT